TTACCCAAACTAGCTACTCTGTCACAAACAATCTGCACAACCGATTGTTCAAGCAACAATAGAAGCAAAGATTGCTCTTTGCATCATATTGATTAGATCATACAATATTTGACCGCCAAAGATCTTCAAGCATTTTGATCGAATAGTACATGAAAATCAACATTTCAAGGACTAGTAAATTAATTGAAGAAGAGAAAAAAATGGCGTGACAAGTGACTATTTTGTTTATATCGTGTAGTAAAAAAATAATAGCTTAAAATACTCTACTATGAAACTTCAAGGGCCAAAGCTGCACAAATTTTGATTACATTTGAAACACTTCTGAGCCAAGACAAGTATGTAAGCCAAAATTTTTTGTAAAAAAAGTGTGACTTAGCGAGTCTTGTTCTATTCTCACTTGACCATTGAAAAATTATTTTCAACAGCCGCCGTGTTGGAAGACGCCATCGCCAATCCACCACAAAATTGGCATAAATTACTAAATCGACTCTTGACAACATTCCATGCATTGTTAAAAAATGTGTTTTCATCATGCTGATTGAATGTCTTTGTGATTTGTGGCTTGTGATCGTATATTAGACGCAGATGTTGATGTTCTTTCTCCACGTCAACGATCTGTTCTTGAGACCAATGTTTTGAGAGATGAGCGCGATATGAATCTAACACATCTTGGATGAATGTGGCTGGATGGATCTTGACGAGGCATTGTTGTTCAAATCACGCTTGGCTTGTACATATGCGATGCATTAGCAACAATAGAAATTCCAAAGATGTTGACTGTATTCAAAGTTGTCTGTTTGTCAATGTCAAAGAGATCATTGTACAAGTCACGAATCCAAGATCCATAATCTTGAATGTGCATGAGTACAGAATCTTTTAGAATGAACCAATTTTGCTCGGCTTTTCGTGATGATGATCAACTGATTAATTCCTTCCAACGCCTCATCGGTGGCGGAGCAGATGTCTAGACCTACGATAATATTAAGGACCAATTTGCAATTTATTGTCGATTTCTGCGAGATCCTGATGTTGCGGGTCTGGATCTTGGTGAACGTGATCGCAAAATAGCAGTCGCAATAACTCAACACATTTACGATGGGGCATGACGTTGAACGAGACAGAGGTCGAATTCAATTTTATGCTTCTGCTGAAAGGGAGTCTGGCAACTCATGATAATAAAAAATGAGTGATTGAATATGCATTGGAATGTTGTAATGATTCCATTTGGCGCTGGTTCAACGAAACTAAGGCCGAGTTGATTTTATGCTTCTCTTGAAAGGGAGTTTGACGACTCATGATACCTAAAAATGACAGGTTGGTGGTTGAAATTGAACAAATCTCCTATTCTGCTTGCACTATTATGATCACAAAAGTGGCCATTGAACAACCATTATCGGCTATTGTGACTGTTGAATGGCAGATAGTCACATAAAGTCATAACTCAGAAATAAAGACAACCACTTAATTTTGGTATCTTTGAGTTTTTATTTTTGGAAAAATTGGCATTTAAAAATAGAATGTCAAAATTTTATGAGGCGTGATCGAGGAGCAAGAAAGTTTCCAAAAATTTTAGGTAGGTCAATGACGTGTTGCCATGTATTGAACATTAGTCAAACAAACCAAGGTTTTTCTTTGTAAAAGTAAATTAGATGATAATTATCGCTTATTACTGTAATAATTGTCTCAAGTAGTATAAATAGAGAAGTAGTAAAGAGACTTTCAAGCAAGTTTTGAGAGCTTATTGTGTGAAAATTTGTTTCATCAATATAAATTTAAGTTACACTATCTCTTTGGGGAGTATCGATGAGTGTTTCTTATTTTGTGATGAGTGTAGATTTTTTGTAAGGAGTTGTTTGGAACACAGACAAATTAGAAATCTTTACCTTATAGAAGAATGATGAGCTTTCACAAGCCATATGAATAACACCAGAGTGAGAGTTAGTTCGGAGATCATAGGGCCGTGTAAGAATGGAAATGATCTTGGAGATCATGTGTCTCTCTCAACTAACACACTCATTTCTTACTTAATAAACACACAAATTGATGACGTATTGCTTTCAACTAATACGTTTATTCTCTACCTATCAACCATATAGATTGTTGACATATATTGTTGACATAGAAAATGTGAATAGTGCACTATAAAATAACTTTAATTTCATCTTGAGTAGATAACTCTTGAGCTGTTTTCATCTCTATTTTTTATCTTTGACTAGCATATATGTCAAAGCTTGATCTAGACAATCAAAACCAAATCTACGATAAAAACTTGTGAGTTGTAAAAAGCTCTTAAACTAAGTTTGATTCTAAGGTGTTGTTCATTTTTGAAAAAAATTTATCTTTTCAATCATCATTTAGATTTTTACTTGTTATAACTCTAGAATTCAAATAATTTACTTTTGATTTGCTAAACTCACTTTTTGAAACTTTGGCATATAATTCATTTTTGCTCAAACCTTGAAGTAGTTTATGATGCTCATGATTATTCAAGGTTTTTCTATATACCAAAATGAAGAGAAAGAAAAGAGCGACACTTGAACAATCTGTGTTTTTGTTGAGAATATTTATCATGTCATCAATTCACTAAGAGTGAAATGAGTGATGGAGGTGAGATCTTATTTACTAATACTTGTAGATAACATTTATATACGAAAGAGTAAAAATATTGTAGATATCTTAACTTCAAAGTTGTGTTCTATCTTCAGATGAGTTCCACTCTTGATTACTAATATTACACAAGTATTTCCATGAGTTCTGACGACAAAGATTCATCATAGTTTCCAACGAATGACATGCCTACGTTCCTGACGAAGTAAAGCCTGCAACATACTCTATGAAATGATCACATGTGTGAGCTTCTACTCACTTGACGTGCTGCTATATTACTAACTACTGATCAAAAGACACTAAGTGGAGTGAAAAACTGGCTGCAGTACCTTCGATTGTAATTTGAATATGTTGTGACGGGAATCTTCTCACAAGTCAAACACCTCAATTTTTTTCTAGAACAAAAAGCCAATATTGTCCATGTTTGACCATTGAAGATTTCATCCTTAATATCACCATAAAACTAGTGACATCTAGAGCACAATGCTATTCTATGAATTTTTTTTGTACACAACTTGTGTTTCATGATACTTAAAGCTAGACTATTGCACTTTACTATTTGCTCGCCACTGAACAAATTTTTTGATAAAGACAAGAAACTCTTAAATTCAATTATGTACGGCAAGATCAATTTCTGACGGCAAGATCAATTTCAATCATTCTTGACGGCAAGATCAATTTTCTGCAGACAATAAATCACACTAGTTTCTTCTTGATTGCCTTACCAGTTACACGTTGACCTTTTCAAGACATAAATTTTCTTACAAAAAGTCTCTTATTGTTACTATTGATGAAAGACAAATTGCTCAAGCACAAGAAGACCAAAGAAGAATTCATTTCCGCTAGTATGAACAAGCTGTTATTTTGTTGCATCAATTTGGATTGGAATGGTAACTTTTGCCGATTATCGAATGGCAGAAGAAGTGGAGGTCAAAACTGAAGATTTGGAAAAAGTACATGGCAAGAACAAAGAGTTTCTTTGCTTTAATAGACACTTCTATTTCCAGTTCATTTGACAATAGTCAACAAAAAGTAACATTGTTCACTCTTTGACTGTGATATTAATTGTTGTACCAAGAATGACAAAATCAATAATATCTAAAAAGCACAAGCATGCAAATAGACGAAGAAAAAAAAAATCCCAGACTTGTGTCTCGAGTCTTGTATTGTTGATAACAAATATACATTATTCAACATTCTGGTACTACATTCGTTGTTGTTACCGTGGATGTAGTCAACGAGAACAACATTTTTATTAAAAAACCTACAAATTGTTCAATGCGAGACTTTGCTTGCCCTCTTATATATAGGATATCAATAACCCTAGCTCTAACCTTGGCTAGGGTTAAACCTAAACTTAACCCTAACTCGAGTTAAGTTAAGTAGACTTTAATTACTTTAATATAATTTAAGATTCGAGTATATATTAACACACAGATTTCTGTGTAATTGCTTTCACACAATGATCTCCATCACCCGTATAAATAATCCAAGGAAAGTTCAAGAAGGAATCTGACACTTGAACTTTGAAGTAACACCTAAGAAGAGACAATTTCACTTGGCCATTAACTAGTAGAGAATTCAAGTAGTTCAAGGTTAGTTGTGTGGTCATGTTGCATATACATTGGTTTACCTCGATGTTTTATAAATACTATGGGTCATGGCCGCGGTCTGATTTTTAAATGCACGGCTTAATGGTATCTTCACATGGTTTTTATGTAGTTCTCAATGGTTGTTATAGTTGTAAGGTGAAGAAGAAATCGTCTGCAATTGCTGATGAGGGTATTAAATTAAGCACATTTTCTTCACTGTAGATCAGAACGACAACCCTAGTGCCCGACACAACTCCATTTTTTGGTCTATAAGGGACTGAAAGTTTTGTACAAATTTCCTACTCCAGGTCTAACGTACAAATGGAGTAGAATCAAAAGTGGCAAAGGATAATGCGCATCTCTAGAATCTAGAAAAGCTTTCAATCTTCAGAGCAGCAGAATTCGGGACATGTTGTGGTAACGACGTTGACATACACTACTTACGTTTGAAGGGCTGATTGTAAAGTATCAGTCGAGAGCACCGGTAGGAAGCAATCATGTGAGGTTCTCGACTGTTATTTCCATTAACATCGCAATTCATCCCCTTTTCGAAAATCCTTAGTCGACCCATATTGCTATATTGTCTGCTTGCCAACGGAGAGAATCGAAAGTTAAGTCTTCCCATAGACTTCTTTAGAACCCGAGACTTGTGTATCAGATACTACATTAGATGCACATCATTTTGTACTGGTGGGGTATATTTTTGTGAATGGAAATGACACATACGTTAGTCGAACTATGTAGATGAAGACAATTCTACTTCCAAAAATTCGAAAGATACAATGAAAACTATTTACAGGATGGGTGTCTGTCATAGTGATCAACTGTCACCCACATGCAAAAGTAACGTTGATTTCTACTCCAGATTTCATTCGTCAGTCTGCTGACTCTAGTCTTATAGGATCATTACCCTTCATAGGGTAATGATCCTGCTTTTTTTGCACTTCGCAAAATTAAGCTTAGTCCCTGGCCGATCGATAGCATGCAGATGCATCGCATACATGCAGAACGTAAAACAGTCTGAAGGTTCACTTTTTGTTATCTCTACTTTAATACAACTTCAACTCTTTCGTGACCTTCTAGCTTTTTGAAATATTTTCCATATTAGGGCTGAAAAATGCTCCGTAGATACTGGTGAGGACAAGACACTTGGCGCATTCCAACTGTAGGACCAATCCATAAGAGACACCGGAAACTCAGATGTACTCAGAACCTTAGCTCTACTCAGAACCTTAGCTCTGATGGGCTGGTAAGCAAGCACTCTGCAGGACTGAATACCAAAGATCCCTGACTGGGATAGAATCATGTCTGATTCACAGTCATGATAAGCTTCGCCTTTATACAGGTAGAAGTGACATATCGATATCACGAGAATGCATGTGCGAGAACTCACACTTGTTCCCTGCTATGGGGACATTTTGCTTGAGTAACAATCTTTTACAGTAGACATATCATCCCTTCAGTCTGTCGACAAACAGCTCGATGAGAAATACTTCAGTTAGGCCTGAGTTGGTGCGACGTCCATCGGGTAACAACCCAACACTCTTAGAAAGGTAGCAAATTCCTGCACGTTGGTTTCCAGAGTTCACCTCAATTATGGTGGTAGAGAAATTACAGCAACACGCAGCAACAAACGTAGAAGCATGCAAAGGAGTCAGATAAACACTTCGTCAGCTACCTAATAAAGTTGCTGTTGTACAGTAATCAGTTGCAGTTTGTTGTTGAGAAGCTAATTGTGGGCCTTAGATATCATTATTCCATTCATTCAAGAGCAGAGTATTTGAGAAGATATTATTCTTGACAACTAAATTCCATCCACTTGACACAAAACTTACTTGTAGGTGACCCAAAGCATTCTGAGTCCGAGGATCAGCCATTGACGCCTCAAAATCAATGTAGAATAGATAGTCGAAGTACCTAGGTCATCACGCAATGATTCACGAAGAAGATATCAAATTTTATATCCCTCAATGGGATACCATAGCTTGACGATAATATTGGTCTTCAAAGAAACATAAACTTCAAGTAGACGAAATAAAATTGCTCCATGACTTGCAGGAGAAGAAGCTGTTGAGAGAATGACCTACTTAAGAAACCACTAGACAATCTTCTTGAATCCACAATGAACTTGGACTTGACGGAGGCTGAATAGAAGCGACGAAGGGATATATGAATATTGGTCTTACTTGGCTGTGGCTTTATTGCTGCCATCAACGATACGCAGAGGTCTCTTATGTTGTGGCCGACTTTCAATCTGAAAATAGGACCATTGCCAATATACAGGAACAAGTTTTTATCAAACTGAGTACGTGATGTATGCTTCAAGTAAACTTTGGAGTCTATTGAGCTACTAAAAACTGAATCATTCAAGCAAAGTTCAATGGTTTCTTCAGGCAACAGAAAGATTGATCATTGAAGACTGATACTGATGCTCCTCCTAAGAATTAAACTGGTAATATTTTCGAAATGAAACAGCAGTATAACTTCACCTTCGTCAAATTGATGTCTCTCAATGAAAAGACTGCTAATGCCTTGAATAGCTCTCCAGGTCCTTCTTCCAAGGTGAATACAATGCTAGTCTGGACAGGCCCACCATCATAATGTTAATGTTATAGGTGGTGAACAAGAAACTTATGGGGAGCCGCAAAGTTGGCGATCGCTCATGGTGGAATGCGCAGAGCGTTGACAAGAACCTGCAAGCAGAAGAGCTAATTAAGTCCTGCTCATGTAAACGATGAAGCCAGCAGATTTCTCTACTGACTAAACAATGCTCTATAACTTGCGACATGTCACTGGCGTTTGTAGGACGGACATTTGGTGGATCGTCTGTAATGGGAAATATACTAACAACCTTTTTTTACACGAATCCTCTAGTGCTCTTAATCATCACACAATATCGAAGCTGGAAATTTTACATTCTTGGAGTGTCAGATCGGGCTGAAAAATTGTCAGAGTACAATCCGGAGGGTTTATAGGGACCCTTCTCATGTCACCAGGACATCCAAGTATGCTCTGTTTAGTTCCATTCATTAGTATCGCTTATTCTACCTGTGATTTATACACGTGAAATTCAGTAAAAGTAACTTCTGTTGCTGCCTACGTTTACATCACAATTACCTTGAAAGGTCTATCGGTCCGTGGAATAATGGGTTCTCTCGCCAACATAAGGAAACGAGTAACATTGTCAGGATCGTCCTGCGTACGTAACCGGTAAAGAACATCAGCTGAAGAAATCACTGAGAAAAAAACGTGATGCTTTTCTATTGAAACTTCTATTAAAATCACAACCTATATTAAATCAAGTCTCCAGAAAATGGTGGCAAATCATATGAAAGAATGTACAGCTGGTTCACGAACTAGACTTCAGAAATCTTCGAAGATTTGAAGTTGTAAATTAAGAGATTGGAGGGCTGCCTCGATGACTGTTCTTTTGTCCAACCCTTACCTGGATGCCATCGGCAAGAACATTCAGTCCATATATTTCTGCTGCGCGTGCACTTGCAACAGCTCCTGTATCCCGAAGACCATGGGCAGCGATAAACTGAAAAACAGTAGAGAACAATCATCATACACTTTGTAACACTAGACGAAGCTGTAAACAGAAACTCCAGAAAGCACGACTTCAGATCAGTTAGATTCTACACATACGGCAAGAAATGTAGGAAGCAACTGGGAAGGTTCGATAAAAAAAATAACAAGCTTTGAAAAAACAAGACACCTTCATGAAGCTGCCTAGTCCTCACAAAGAAGACTGTAAGTCAAGGGGCATTCCAGTTGTAGGTAGAGCTAAACACAAACTACTCAGAAGAAAAGCTAAAATTTAGAATCATGGTCATCACACAAAAGAAGATTTCTCATACCTTCAATAAGACAGTCTGACATTAAATGAATAAACATGAAAAAATGAAGAATTTACGAGGAAAGAGGAAAAACATGAAGTATCTGACTTCTTTGAAGTCATCACTGTCTATGAAATCAGTGAAATTTCTGCTCCAATCTTATTACGTATTCCAACATAATTATATACACATATACTTCAGATGTAAACGCATTAGAAATATTGCTTTGTCTTGCCTGCGCAGCACCAGCAGTATCATCCACAGCCTCGCGAATAACTCCAAGTTTAGATAGAGTAAATTCACATTGAGCTAGAGCCTGGAACAATGATAAGAATGTTAAGGAACATATCATGCTCATCCCCACTTTGTATGAATTTCTGAAACAATGTCTGCCAAGAGTAGTTAAGATAGCAACTAAAGCAATTTGTTACGTAATGGATAAGCAAGCCTTCCATGTTTCTCCATCTGGAAAGACATGGAAAAACATAGGGCAATCTTTTTATTTGGAGTATGTGTGTTAACCTGTTGATGGCTGACCACACGTTTCAGCTGGGTCGTCTGAACACCTGGCAGTGCCATTAAGCAGTGATGCACGGCGAGTTGGACTTCGCCCACAATGTGTAACCTATGACGCATGAGAAGGTCATAGTTCCTGTGGATGCTTCCACCAAGTGAATTCTCGATCGGTAGTACTGCCCTGTCGACCAGCCACAACTCTACTGCCTGCTCGCAGATTCCAAAATGATCAGTTGTGGACAAAGCCTTTAGAGATGTACATAATGCAGGAAAGGAAGAGACGAGTACCTGAAATGTGGCGTCAAACTGATCACAAGGGACAGTCTCACACTTGGGGTATGCTTTTGCGGCAGCGGCCTCACTGTAAGCTCCTGGTACTCCCTGTGCTCATGACAAGGCCAGATTGGAAAGCATAAATCGACAGTTAACAAATGAAAAGAAAATAATTTAGCGTGGCGACGTTCTAACAAAAATGCAAGATGGGCAGTTGCTGATAGTTAGGATCAAGAACCTAATAGTTTCACAATGACCCATTCAAGTACAAAGACACAACATATATGATTCGAGAGGCTGGTGTAAGAGACCGATGAAATCAGCAAACAACACGGATGATAGTTCCACGATAAGTACAATTCACAAAGCCATCTGCCCCTGCAAGTAGTGGAAACCTCAAGTGCGCAACGCTCTCCTTGTCCAAATGTTTCTCAAGGAATCACAAGTAGATGAAAAGCCCGATATTGCTATTGGCAGCAAACAATAAACTTGTAAACATAGCGAGCAGAGACAAACATATGAGACTTCTGATACTGCCTTGGATATTGGAAGAAAGATAACACACAAATAGCCATAGTAAGGTAACCACATTAATTATAATTGCCTGTCATGAACTGGCAGATCCTAGGCATATGCCTTGGATGGGAGGTCCGCGCTTACAAAAACAAAGTGGTTTCCATCTAATGAGAAGCAGAGATTGCCTCAAGAGGACAAACTGAAACCCATGCTCACATGCTTGCTCAGAAGGTTGGGCAAGAGAAAGAACTTAACTCTGTGGGTGTACATAACCGGCAACAAATTTAAAACGCATGAGTCGAGAATCTTTTCTCTGCATAGACCTAACAAGATGAAAACTCGCTGACGAAGTGTAGGGCATATCAGCTAGTTCGATAAAGAGGACACAATCAACAAGGTGATATGTACATATGCAGATGTACCTACTTGATAAGCAACGCGCAGCATAGAACCATGGCTAGGCTGAAAGGCAAGATTGCCCATCGACAAGGGACCTGCTTTTCACAAAGTTGAATGCGATGCGAGTAACTGTTAGTTACAAGAGTAGTTTTGCAAAAAAACCAGAGAAGACACATCATGGCAAGGAAACCCTTTTGGTGATGTCAAGACTATCACGAGATTCAAGCAAGTTCATGTACGCAAGTCCCACTGATTTCTCTTTTCAGTATTTTGACATTATCAGACAAAACTAATTCGTTGGCAGGCAAGGAGCCACAAACAATGCAAGTAAAACGGGACCAGAGAAATTTAATTATAAAGTAATTAGAGCTTAGTATTTGGGAGAGAGAGGGAAATGCTGGTACATACTCGGTAACGTCATAAGAGCTCGAGAAGACATTTCGAGCTTGGATTTTCCGTTCGTGGTCGATCCTCCCGTTCCTTCAGCTGCTTCTAGCGTCGTGGTCAGATTCGAAACAACTGAGTTCTCAACCAAAACTTCCTCTTTTTCCTTCAGCTGGAGAGAATCCCACTGACTGGACAGTACAGCACACGAGGACTGCCATTGGACAGCACGTTGAACAGCAATCAGTGGATCCACGGGAGGAAGCAACGACATTCAGTGACTTTGATTCGTAACTCAAGCGAGAACTTGTAACCGTGAAGACGAGTCAAGATCAAATCGCTTTGGTTGAACTGCCTAAAGATGAATATAATTCACGTGTCGTCAATTCCACAAAAAAAATTGTGGCGACTTCGCCGGGAAAGGACTCGTGTTTCTGAAAGAGACTGGAATATCTCGTGCAACAATCTTCAACGATTATACACACTGTCGTCGACAATAATAAATAACACGCTTGTGCCAGAACTGATCACAATATATACACCAGACGCTAAATTTGTGCTCTATGAATATTATCCCGTGAGCAGAACGGAATTCACCTCAGCCTCGGAAATCCTGGTAGATATGGATATCAGATGTGCATCCATTGACGGCTACTTCCCCCTGTCATTAGTTTAGCCCGAGAGCTGCTGGACAAAGCAAACCCCGAGGAAGCAACAGAGGCATGCTTCGCTTTCGCGCAATCTAGCTACTTCAGTCGTACGTACTCATTCAAGACTAGAAATCGAGATTCCAGTCAGCATTGTCCGCTGTAGCTGAGCTTACATTCGTCTTACTGTTTAGATCATGCTGTGAGAAAGACCAGCAGCTCTGAGACAACATGTGAGTGATGTCTTGCAGTAGTTCAAAACCCCAACTTTTATTCAGTGAACCTCAGTACAAAGTAAGGGAAGATCCCAGATCAAGCAACCACAAATATTGCATCACAGCGCCAAAAAAGCCACTGTATATCTAAACTATCTATTTCAAACCGATTGCATGAAAAATAGCAGAAAATCATCAACTAATGATTGGATCACCTAGAACTCTATATTCAAAAATCAATTCAAGATCACATAAATACGCTATACTTTAACATGTAAAGAGCGATGCATTGCTGTGGAAGTATGTGTGTGTGTTTACAATCACTCATGATTATAAAGCTAGAGGCATCAAAAGTTAATCTCTTTGCAATACTTTGATTGGAAATTTTGATATTAGTCTCTCTCCACTCTTGTTGTGAGTGGAGAGAGACTTATCATCCACATACTCCAAATTGGAAATGTTGAAAGTGTAACCAAATCCTATGCATATGTAACATGGCCCTTTTTAAACCAAGTCGATTGCAAGACATACTAATATTCAATGGAATTCATTGTCTTACGATATAGCATACATCACATCTATATCATGATGGTTAGCTATCATGATAGCTCCAAATGTCCAACCAATCATATGGATCCATCATGCATGTAAGGTAAGAAAGTGGAAATAGATGGCAAACTCCAATGTTGAATCTCGATGGCAAAGTTGTTAGTGCGTATCAGAAAGTTCTGCATCATAAACCAAAATCCACCAGCATTCATCCTTGTCAAAGCACGAGACAGTACAAGGATTCACACAATTCACTAAGATGGAATGAAGAGCATGATGCATTCGAAGGTTCATCAAGTTAGAAAGTATATATCTAGTTATATTGGTGGGCAAAGTAAAAAGATATGGAATTTGGTATATCATATATTTCGGATACAACATCTAATATATGTTGTGATAAAAGATTTATAAGTTCTGATTGCATATATCTCAAAGATGGGTGTTTCAGCAATAAATGAAAAAATTTACTGATATGCTTAATTTGCAACTTTTGATGGGATTTATAAATGATATCTCCTCCATTCACAATCGTGCTTGAGACCATCTATGATTTTATTTTCCTAGATTGCTCACATGGATTTTGTATCCACATGAGTTGTCAGACACTCTTTATTGCTGTGTCACTATCCTTGGATCGTGAAGTTAATTTTTTCTCATTGTCATATATATTTCAATGATCGAAAACGAGATACTCCAGCACGTTCTCGAATGAAACAATCCATGATTTGATTCACCATCACCATTTTAAACATTACCCATGAAGTGTTTCTGTACGAACCCCTTTTACAAAAATACACTTGAAGCGTTAAACCATGGACTTTAGTAGATTTTCTATCAATAAATAGATTAGATATCTTTTGCCATGTAATTCACATAAAATGGTATGACACATATACATGTGTCATTCCATGCAAATTCTCATATCACACAATCAATACAAATAGGGGGATGATGTTAGCAAATAATCATAACATCTTCCTATCAAAATATGCGATATGATTGCGTTAAAGTCGGAAGGTTGATGATTCAAAAGAAAATTTAGAGGAAATAGAAAATAAAGTATCACATGTATATAAAGTAACGAAGTAATTTCATTCATATGCAATACATGATTGGAAATTACAATTTAATCTTAAGATCAGAAACTCCTCGGATAAGCACTCCATCAAAACCTAATAAGAAATATTTATTCCAATACATATTGAAACCTGTTAATGATACTTCAAGACATTAATGATAGTTTCTTGCCAATTGGGTGCATCTGAAAGAAGTAAATTTATTTTCAACACTACTGGCCACAGACAAATGATGAACGACTCCTGAGGCTCTACCCTACTCCAAGTCCTGCTCCAAGGTCTTACACTCTCGCGAAATCGAAAATAGCATTCAGGTAAAGCTGAATTCAAACTTGAATAGCAAGCAAGCCTACAAGTTAAGGACCCTCATATTGGAGAGCACTTCTGTGAGGAGCATCATCTCCGTCAACTTGGGTTGGAGTGCAGGAGTCACCCTTGCCTTTTTCTGTTCCTGATCTTCTATGTTTGTGTGTCTCATCAATATCATCTTCAGAATGCTTTGTTTGAATGTTTTAAATGGCTCCAGAACGTAAGCTCAGCATGTTCAGGTACGCTCCCATGCTCATGTGGTGTGTCCAATACTCCGACACAATATTCAACTGCGGATATTTTGAATTGGAAACTACATTCAAGCGAGCCTTGCTAGTTTAATGCTTCTGCAAGGTTCCTTAATCTCACTGTAACCAGCATACCTGATCTTTCTCGCCCTAACTTACATCAAGTGCCTGACAGTAAATATGATTGGATATTCCAGTGCGAAATTCTCTCCAAACACCATTTATCATACATTTATAATATGAATTTTTCCCATAATATAGAGTCACATCCTGTTTCAGAAGAAGTCATATATTCTATGCATCAATCTCACTTTAGAGGTACATGAAATAAGAGTAGGGAGTATCAAAAATTGAGTGCTTATGCAAGTTTTGGTGTCAGTAAAGAGTGTGTCCTAGGGTTAAGAGTTCCTAGTCGAAGGCTTGTGAAAGTATTATCAAAACAATCTTCATTTATTTCTATGTGTGAAAGGATATTGAGTTCTCCGTTGGAGATGTTTCCATCACCTACTTGCTTAAACTTGGGAGAGAATCTTGTATCTGAAGAAAAGCATGAAAAAGGTCTGCAATGACAATTGGTGTGTACTGCTTAGACTATGGTTCATTTACTTCCTCTCTTCGATCATGTTCGCCATGTTCACACTCTCCTTTCAAGTTTGGGGAAGACGAACCAAGAATTTATTAAAAACTATGGAACAGGTAATCAGTGACTAGCCCCAATATTAGTATTGTGGTAAGTATCTCTTGTAGCATTTAATACATACCAACAAGGTCTTATTGGGATCGACCAGCTTTATTGAAATTTGGCTTGTGTGCAGGATGCCAGGTGTTTCCCAAATCGACCAAAAAGACATCACAAAGTATGAATTTATTCTTCTGTTCCGCGAGATCTTCCAGACTCATCATGGAAGATGGGTGAAGCAACATGGAAGATGCAGATGAAATAGAAACTGGTTTCTTCTGCAGGTTTTCTAGACTGACATTTCCCGATTTTCCCCCCACCTTAAAAATTATTCTGCTGTAAAACTATCAGAGATTTACAAAGAAGATCTCCGAAAATTTGAAACTAAAATCCTGAGGATCAAATCCAAGGGCTTTGTGCAACTAACCTAAGCCTTGTCTCTAACCAAAATATATCAGTCACATTGCAGATGAGAAGTCAAATCCACATCCCTTCTAACGGATTTGAAAGACTAGCAGATGCTCAAGATACATGTGATAACAGAAAATCTGTGAAGTTTGGTTGCCATGAGGTTATTTCTTCCTCCTTGAATCGGACAATTATTTATCAAAAGATGGCTGCCTAAGGTGTGGTATTGATGTATCGGCAGCAATCCATGGATCCAAGTACGAGAATAAAAGACTACGAAAGCACATGTGCCTCCTGGGGTGCGCGATGAGTCATGTGGATCATAGAACGTGGATGAAACGAATGAGAAATGCGTCCGTCCAATCTGCTTGGCGCTAAGTTAATGTTTAGCAAAAGCCTTAGGCTTCTTCAGAATGGGGACTTACACAGATTAAACACGATTGGAAGAATTCTCTCTTTGAATCAGAGCAGGTCATGCTTCGTTACGATTTCTTCATGCCTCTCGCCCTTCAATCCAAGCTCAAGCCGACTTCGACGAAGCTGTGTTACTTTCGAAGCTAACTATTTTCGTGGTTCAAGATATAGAGCTTCTTCTCGAGCTACGAGAACATGGCCCACGTGGAACGGCATCTGATAGCTAAACGTGCCGTACCACGTGTCTACTCACTAGATCGACGTGCACCATGCTAGGTCTTCGATCATTGCACGGATGATACTCGATAAGATGCCCGGCCACACTGCAGCTCCTCCTTTACATGTGCATATCACCGGTATTCAGGATATTTTAAAGACTGCCTATACACAGTTCCAGCCCCTCCACAAAATAGAAGATTGAATGCACTGTACAAGTACCCAGGAACAAAATTAAAGAGACCAATTTAGTATATATTCTTACAGTGTTCTGTTCAGGAATGGCATTTGCCACTCCTCTCGCAACAGTTACGTGGGCTGCTCCTTGCAAAGTTAAAAACCATTTGAAAATAGTCCTAAGATATCCAACTACGTGAGCTGCTGCTTACTTGAGCATACAGGAACATGAATTGTACCAGTATATCATGGGGCTGTAGGAATTATTTGTACAGATGCTATTAGTGTGTCGTACTTTGAAATTACTCACAGAGGGCTGTACAGTTCTACGTGCACTTTCCACTCACACCCTCTGACAAGGAAAATATTTTGTCTCTCATTCAGGGAGATGATGGATGTGTAAAAGGGATAGGTTGGGAAAGACAGGAATAATGAAAGAAGTGAACAGAACGCCTGACATAGGCGATGTATCATGTATGAACTCCTTCCTCGATTCTAACTCTTGCGCTACAAAACATTTGAAATTATCGCCCCTGTTCAAGGTTGGCAAGGAGTAATATCCATTGGATAACTTCCCAGCACCCTAAGGAAGGTAGCAAATTCCTGCGAGATGCCACAAGATCAAGGTCAGGTTAGGTAATTTCATACCAGAACTGAACCTGATGTTTCAAGTAATCCAGAAAGATATGTAGCCTGGGATACTACTATAGTATCTTCGGTAAATTTAAAATCTTATAAATAACCAACGCCACCTCTTGACGTTCAACTTTCACAGAAGTTCTGCAATATAAATATTTAGATACTTACTTGGAGGTGACCGAGGGCATTTTGAGATCTTGGGTCTGCCATTGATGCTTCAAAATCGATGTAGAAAAGATAGTCAAAATATCTGCAACATAAATCTAAATCGTTAGAAGCTGTCCTCTATCTGTATGTACCTGACAAGGTTTTATGGTCCAGTGGTCAACATTGTCGGTTTAAGACGTTCTCATACGCAGAATATACATCAGACTTGCACGCATCTAAAATCAAAGCTAAGCCAAAGGAAAACCAATCCAGGAGATGCATCCATTGACAAAAGCAACAGAGCTTGCATTCAGAACAAAGTGCATAAACAGGACCAAAAGGTTCTTACTTCGCTGTGCCATTGTTGCTGTCATCCACGACGCGTAAGGGTCTCTTTCTTTGAGGACGACTTTCAATCTGAAAGAACAATATTAATGAACAGACAAATGTCATTACACATCAATCGCATCATACTCTTGAGACGTCGCCGACGAATCCTGAAGCCAGATGGCCTGTAACATTCAACGGTGCACCTTTAACAGCGACTAGAAGTGGAAGTAGTAACGATATGGGCAGATCTAGATAGCTTCTTGCCTTTGTCAAGTTGATACTCCTCAGAGCGAAAACAGCTAAGGCCTTGAACAGAACTCCTGGCCCTTCCTCCAAAGTGAAGACAATGCTGGTCTGCAAGCCACGACCACAAGAATGTACAATTTCGTTAGCGGAGATATTCAAGGTTTTTTAGTTTATGAACAAGTTACAACGTCACATGTTTCACAACCAGACACGGAAGGTTTGAGTAATCTCCACTAATCCGTAAAGCCATCTCTCCTCTCTGTACGATACCTCTCAGGCTTCTTAATACTATGCGAAATCAGCAGAAAAGTTCCTTTGATGACATGAGAAATGAAAAGAAAAAGGAAACCCTCCCCTGGACTAACCTTGAAAGGTCTGTCGTTTCTAGGGATGATGGGCTCTCTAGCCAGCATCAGGAAACGTGTAACGTTGTCAGAGTCATCCTGCAAACCCAAAAGACGCCGTCAACTCATTACGAATCCCAGCCCATAGAGCTCAACACGCCTTTCCACCACCCATCGTTCGCGATGAAAGATGAAATCATCCAACCAGACGTACCGCCAGAAACACAACATCCAGCCTTTGGAGTTTCCAATTACAAATGGGGCCATGTGGGCTTTGCTAAGGGGTAAGAATCTCTACATCCTCACAAAGAATTTGCTAATGGATCGGTTGTCAACTTTACCTGGATACCATCCGCAAGAATATTTAAGCCATATATTTCTGCAGCACGAGCACTTGCAACGGCTCCTGTATCCCTAAGTCCATTAGCGGCGATGAACTGCGACATGCCAAAAAAGGTTGAGAGCTCGTGTGTTGACAATACAACAGACTCTAACACTCAGGAAATTCATATGTCGAAGTGTGTATAGTCCTCAATTAAAAGCTTTCAGCTTACCTGTGCAGCACCTGCGGTATCATCAACAGCTTCACGAGTCACTCCGAGTTTCGACAGCGTGTGCTCACACTGAGCAAGAGCCTGCAAAAATCCAAATGAATGGTCTATTTCATCGTCAAAACTAGAAAACAAAGGAAGATAGCCAAAAAGGATATGAATGAGATACCTACACATACCATGAGCCTATCCATAATGATTACCGCGAATAATTTGAGAAACGATTCCAAGAAACAGCAAAGAACAAAAAACTTAAAACCCGTGACGTTTAGCAGAAACGTGAAATATCCATGATTCTTAACGAAGAATCGACTGCAAAGAGCGTTACAGAAAAAAACAGCCGAAGACTAGTGCACAATAAGCACAACACAGTGAGGTTAGACTGCGTGGTCTCGAAGCTTAGGTCCAGGTAAGATTAATGCTTATGAACTTGCTCGATGAAGGATAAACATCGGAAGGTAAGAATAATTTGCTTCGGCCAGTTGCAGAATCAATCTATCGGGCTTCAGAAACTAAGACTTCGATAGGTTTTTTGAAAAAAAAAAAACCCACGAAATTGGGTGTGAATGAAGTAAAAAAAATCTGTGGAAGATCCAAAAGAAGCGCGAGCAATTCGGACCTGCTGATGGCTGACAACTCGCTTCAGATCAGTGGTTTGGACTCCCGGAAGCGCCATGAGGCAGTGATGGACTGCAAGTTGGACTTCTCCGACAATGTGTAGACGATGACGCAGCAAAAGATCATAATTCCGATGGATGCTGCCACCAAGCGAGTTTTCAATTGGAAGCACAGCCCGATCGACAAGCCATAACTCCACTGCCTGTTTGCACGACCAAGAGCACTCTCATCAATGAAGCTCCGAAACAGCACTTTTGTACACGTTAAAAGTAAAAGACCGCCATCTGAGCAGATTATAGAAGCTCCAGATTTACCTGAAATGCAGCGTCAAATTGTTCACATGGAACGGCCTCGCAATTAGGGTACGCCTTGGCAGCAGCAGCTTCGCTATAAGCTCCTGGCACACCCTGCAGTCAAAACCAGGTTTGCATATCACTAAAGCGCATGACTAAACTCAATGAAAGGTCTCAACAGACAGTTCTCGTCTTCTGCGGAAGCAAACATGATCCTCGCGTATAATCCCGACAATCGAAACAACAGCCTCAACAGTAGCCACCAATTTGATACCTGATAAGCAACGCGCAGCTGAGATCCGTGCCTGGGCTGGAGAGCTAAGTCAGTCACTGACAGTGGCTCTGTTCACCCACAAAGAACAGGAGCCATAATGAGCGTCTTCGCAGAATCCGACTCAAAAGCCAGCTCAGCCCCTCGCCCATACAGCCTACTAAAGTCTCTAGAAGTCAGCAAGAGAAGATAAACAGAGTTGCGGCAATTACGCAAGACGAGGACAGAAACGATGAAATGCAAGCAATTGAGACGCACTCGGTAATGTCATCAGATCACGGGACGAGATTTCCAGATTCGAATTTCCGACAATCGTTGGCACTTGTTCAATATCGATCCCTTTCTCTTCCTCAATCTGGGTGCTAGCCCACTGGCCGGACAGAACAGCGCATGAACTCTGCCACTGCGCAGCGCGGCCGCCCATCGTGGGATCGACATAGGGGCTGGTTGACATGGGCCAGTTCGTATCCCCAGCATTGTAAGCAGCTCGGCAGACCTCCTTCCTCTTATGCTCGTCGGCCTTGATCGAGGTGAACGACAGATTTTGCAATCCCTTCTTCAACGACGACGGATCGCAACTCGTCCGCAACCAAGCCGAATCGGCATAACCCAGACCAGCGGCCGGGACCCCTAATTGCACCGTGGCCATGGCGCAAATAGAGACTTGCACCAATCCTCGCTATAATACCCACCAATTGCTTCTTCCCTTCCGTCCCGTCTCCTCAGAGTCTACAGCAATTGCTCAGTCGAGAAAATCCAGCACTACTCCGCCCCTTCCCTGCTCCGAACTCTTAACACCCACCAGTCGAGCCCCCAGTGAAGAAGCGTTCGATCTTCGTGAACCTGCTGCACTGCGAAAATTCTGCTAAGTTCGAGGCGGGTGTCCACCGTGTGAACTGAACCGAACGAGCTCGAGACAGACAGAGTATGTGTGAGGTGGGGAGAGAGAGATCAGAGAAGTTCTCGATTGCAGATCTCCACTCCCCTTTGTACGTTGACAGTGGGTCAGTCAGTAAGTAAGTAAGTAAGTCCGTCAGTCAGTCAGCCAGTCAAATATGCTCCTTGCCCTGTGAGCAAAGAAGTCAGAGAAGCTTCAAGCGGGAGGGGTTCTGGTCAATAAAGAGGAATAAAAAAGTAACAAGAGCGGAGAGAATTGGACGGACGAGAAAACAAAAGACGAGACGAGTGAGAAGAGCCCAACCACCACAGCTTGGACAGTGAGCAGTAAGCGGCAGCAGGGATGGGGAGGGGTGGTGAGTCGAGTCGAGTCGAGTGAAGTTGATGGGCTCTCCTCTCTGCTGCCTGCCCGAGCAAGAGACGATGGTTGGACAGGACAGGACAGGACAGGAGGGGAAGAGGGGAGCGGAGTCCAGACACTGGAGGTGGAGGAAGCAGATCAGGCACCCGGCGTGCATTTAACTCGAAAGGCTCACACAAAATGGAAGGTGTTGGGTTTGCAGAAAAGGAGCCGAGGGCTCCGTTCGCTGCTGCAGTAGGCGGACTCTGGCTGCATGCATGGTCGTCAACAGCGGCACTCTTGCAGGGCCCACATCCCTTCCCTTCCCGTCCCTCGCTCCTCGGTTTCCTGTTTGCGAGCTAATGCTCGCGAATTGGTGAGCTCACCAAAATCTCATATTCTTCCATGACGTGTCAGTCTTTAAATCATTCTGGTTCCGATCTCGCGAATCTACAGTCCTGTGCTGAGCTTTTGCTTTTTCCTCCCGACGGACAGAGGGACGTGTAAGCTTAAGGACAATCCCTCTGGCCTTTCTGATTCATGATTTCCTCTTCGCAGTCTTCTGCATTCCGGGCAACAAATCCTCATGCATATTGCAGGGGATCTAAAGATCTAACACAAGGCTCCCGAAGCGAACCGCTGCCACCGTGTGATGGACTCTGAGTGAGACTTAATGTATGGAGGAGATTCGGACAAGGGGAGAAGACGAAGCTTCTCTCCCTCCTCGCACCAGTTTACACAACTCCAGCACAGTACAGCACGATCCGAGATAAGAAATCAGAAAGTGGCTCATTCGTAAGAATCGTCTTTTAGTTGTGTGCATGCGACGTTGACCAAATGGCCGCCCACAAGAGGTGTGCCTTGTCACTTGTGCCTTCAACTCATTTGGAGGCTGATTTTACTCCTCTGGGGTGTTTATAGGAGGAAAAAATTAATCCTCCATTCACCATCTTCACAATCCGTACTCAGACTTTGTCTGACAACTTTATTGTGGATGCTACCATCCTCCTAATTGAGTTGTGATATATGACAGGTCATGAGATGTCCTTAGTCTCTTGAAGCATGCAGGTCATATTCTTCAAGAGTCTTGAATGGTTGCAAATATTTGAGCACTGCAAACAGTTATCTTTGCTTACAGATGCCAATGACGAACCTCCTTTCTGATAACTGAAGATTAACAAACTGAGGTGTTAGAAGTGTGAGTCCTAGCATTGTCCAGATAAACAGCTCCTGTAGGACTTCTACAACTATCAAATTTCTTTTACTCCTGGTTAGTCTTCCGATACATCGAACAATGAGCCACTCAACAGTAATAAAATGATTTGCTTACGTCTGTCGTCCGTCGTCCTGGTTAAGACAGTGAAGCATTTATCGGTTAAGGTATCCTAAGAACAGAGGTGTACGTCATAGCCAGTAGCTTAAAGGACAAGAGGTCAGGGACATACCGTATGGCCCTTCGAGGTCGGAGCCTCGAAGACTACACGAGACTATACTAACGGAGAAAAAACTGGAAAATGCCATCACGAGATCACAAGAGGAATCTATGGATACTCCTGTCACGACATAAGGAAGACCAAAGACCACTCCAAGCTTCAAGAGTACTTGGGTCAACGTTTTTACAGATGTTACGCCGTCGATCCGTGACCTACATTTGAACAGAATATTAGTTTTTACGGTTGAAATTTTCATTCAACAACCAAAAGGGGAGCATGTGATGTGCAGCCAATGGTTTTGAGTTTAGGGCCTAAGCAACTCGCTCCTCCTTCCTTGGCCGTGACCATCTTTGATTAAAATACATCTGTAGGTGGCAGACCACCTGGTGCTCGCTCACCTTAAACGAGGACCATCGTATAACGACAATATATGATACCCTGGGCAGTGTCGTGCAAGAGTCATGCATGGGTGCGCTTGCTTCAGTAAATATTCCTGCCGATGAACTCCACAGATGCTCTCCCACAAGGGAGGTTCAAATTCACAATAGCGTTCTGGAGTTGTTCTGTGATCCTAGCAGCAATCGCAATGGCGAGGAAAGTATGTGCCTTCAGTTACTGTACTGATGCCGAAACACGAACAGCCCGGTCTAAGTTCTACTCACGTCCCAACAAGCCTCCATCTGAGCTTTTGTGAGTTAGTCCTCAAATTTCCTAATTCCCGACCAAGTACAGTATGACTTAAAGATGTCCAAAGTACACGCAGTCGGTGTCATACACCATTTTCGCATCTGCTAAATTTCTCTAATTTAGGCTATCGGTACATCACAAGCTCCACCATTCTAGATATCTTTAATTATAATATTTTATAAGCCTGCTTCTTTGCCCTTTTTTTATTGTCTGTGGCTTTCTAGGCCCTCCTCACCAGAGTTCTGGAGATGCCTGGACAAACTACGGAAGATGAAGCTCAGGATTTCGGTTCTCTAAATCGAAGAAGGCATAAAGTGATTGGGACGGAAGGTTTTGGGAATAAATGTACCATGTGATTCTACAAGTGTGGTGCTGACTAAACAAGAGAGTTGTGATGGACCCCACAAACAACCACTTTCAAATCTCGTGTCTCAAAAGTCCGTGGCTCTGCTTAACATTTGCTGACCAGTACGTGGTAGCATATGCAGCGCCACCAAAATGTGCAGTGCAGTCTTACCATGCTTTCTGTCTGCTGCACCCGCCACCTACAGTGTGTGCTTTTCCCTACCTCTCATGCCATCTCTCCCTTCCACCAATCTTGCGACAGGTCTCGCTTGCGGGCCCGGATCTAGATCGATCTAGAGCAATAACTGTATTCTCCCGTATTTCGACATTCCCCTTCTCGCCAGTGTAGCGTATCCGTTATGAACATCAAGCACCCAACAGTCTCAGCTTTGTTGGTTATACAAGACCGAACCACGTCTGAGTCTGAGAGAGAGAGCTGCACGTGATTTACACCAGCTAGTCATCCTCTACTCACAACACTTGCTTCTTCGGATCATTTTGGGCAAATATATTATATGTTTCTGTCTAATCACAACCTCACACACGGAAGAATATGTGTCCAAAAGTAGTAACGGTACTCCGATCCATTGTAACATGTTTCACGTGCTTCTGATTTAATACCTGTTTAGATATGAACTTATTGGTATCCTTGTTTTGATCATTTAAGAGGTTGAAGAAAAAAAATCTAAGGGGACGGGAAACTCATCAACATTTACAAGACGAAAGTACACCAAGTTTTCCAAAAAGTCATAACTAAATAATTCTCGACCATCATCTAATATATTTGAATGATCAACTTCAAACTATTCACAAAGGAATGAAACATTTGAATAAGCATCAGACAGGATTCATCTTCTAAGTATAGCACTGGTAATATGTAATATAAGAAGGGAAGTGAAATCGCGATACCACCTCACAAGTATAGGGAGGTAGTTCTCAAAGTCCCCTTTCCTCCATTGGCTGCCCTATCCAAGAAAATCGATATTCAAACTCTTTCAAATTCATGTCACATGTAAAATTAATAACCGCATCTGTCATATCAGATATGTATAGGCGTTAACACTAGTTGATTGCAAGACATATGAAGCTCTCTTCCTTTAGATTACATCAAACCACGTAATTGCAGAAATCACATTCTTAATAGTTTCAAATGTAGTTATATTCTAGCACTCCAAATAGTCAAAAGTCAAATGAAGACAAATTGCATCTGAACAAGGAAGATCTAATTCAATAAATACAACTGAGAAATAATTTTATGATTGTGAACAGGTAAGTTTTGGAAAAAAGTAAAGCAAAAAAACTGTAATGCACAATTGAACCAAAAACTATAAATATAAGTTTTTTAGTGATAACTCAAGTCTAACTAGAATAACCTGGATTTAGAATTTTCTTTACCAGATTAAAAGGGAAATACATAGCTTGTCCCGAACATTGTTTTCAGGTTTTTCAGTAAAATTTCATGTTCTCGTGGACTTATAGTTAGAGATAAAATACATACTTGTCGGAGTTGTGCCTGCGTGCATCTATTGTCTATGTTCTTGGTTTTTTCTTGTGGATTTTTGTTACAATTTTACATTCTTTTCTAAATTTTTTTTTATGCATTGGACATACCTTGTATTTTATCATTACAATTTGATATTAGAACAGTTTACGGATGTAAGTAAAACTCTTTGAACTTTTTGCATTGAATCTTGCCTGCTTGCTGGATCGTATGACTCTTGGATGACATGGGAGGAAGTTCTTCAAAATGTCATTTGCAATGATAGTTCGTGTTCTTTATGGAGTTCCAAACATCTAATTTTCTCTTGCTGTTGGATTGCATATTGTGATCCGAGAGAAGGTAGTCAGGTTTCAGTCAACAATGAAATTTAAAAGATCATCTTTTAAATGAAACCTATTTGCTCAACAACCTTTTTGTATTCTTTCAGATTGAGATACAAAATCTTTGCCTTGGACGGCTCGAAGTAAACGATGAAACTTAGGAGATCATGTTTTAAGTGGAATCTGTTTGTACTACAACTAGTTTGCATTGGTTCAAATCAAGATACAAAATCTTTGCCTTTGATGGTTCAAAATTTAATAAAAATCTTTGATCAATCCAATCACTTATTTGTATATGTGAAAGATTTATAGAATTAACCAAAAGGATTATCATGATTAGTTTAGTTATGATTAAATTTTAGCTATAAAGTCTATATTTTGCAAAGTCATTAGGATATTTGTAGAAGTTATATGTGAGAGCATTATTAGTTTATCTCATATCAAAATCTAGATTCTAACGAGATAAAACTTTAATTACATGCTAATTTTGATTGATATGACTAAGTAAGAAAAAATTTAGTGGTTAGACTAAGTCTAAAGTTGATCTAATGACAAATGTAAGTTCTAAAGGTCGCAAGGTACTCAATGGCATGTCTACATCATAATTTAGAAGCAAAGAAGTTTAGTTAAACCACTGGCATGTTGCCATTTTTGGGAACTAATCATAACTATCAAGATTTATCATACTAAAAGTAAGTCAAATTATAATTACCATGATATAGTGCTATTATAGTAATATCTTAATTAATATAAATTAAAAGACAGAATAAATAATCTTAAGCAAGTTTGAAGAATTCATTGTGTGAAAATTTGTTTCATCAACAAAAATTTGAGTTTAACAAACATTTTAAAGTATAGATGAGTGTTTGACTTGAATGATGAGTGAAGATATTGTGTGAAAATATGTTTTGACCGGTGTGA